TGTTTTTTTTTTGACAGTCAAAAAGTGTTCACTTAATTCATGATCACACTATTGTTTCGCAATAATTTCCGCAAATAAACGCAGAATTGTTTCTGCCGAAGATTTTCGACTCTACAAGAAATCGAGTCGCTTTGACTTTAATATCTGTCAATATATGCCGTATTCACACCGTAAACAGCAAAGGAGATCAGTTGAAATTTGTTGAATGTTCATAGTAGCGAGTGGTGGGTTCAGATTTGCGAAATGAGAGTGTAAGGACTGCAGCAGCAAGTGAGCGACGATGTCGTTCTTCGGAAACTCGTTCAGGCTCGCTGACGCCTCTGAAGCAACCCGATACTTTAGCGCCTTACAAGAGCGCCAATCTTTCCAAGTTGTTGGCCACCGAGAGCTGCGGTATGTCTATTCTTACGTTCATTTGCAAAAAACTGATAAAGTTGGTTGATTAGACAAAAGGTTTTGATGATGATTTTGCTGAGTTCAGTTCGGGATGTGGAATCGCCCCAGCTACCCGAAATCATCCTTCCACCGTCAGATGAATCGGCAGATTCGCCAATGTCTGTCGATGATATTACACCGCCTCTATCGTCGACGAAAAAATCGGCGCAAAGGTCGGCGCCTCGAAGTCCTTCTTCGTCACCTCATGTGGTTGTTCCGAGTCTTGAACGGCAACATTTGAATAGCACTAATATCGACGCCAGCCGAAGGTATTTTTGTAAACAGTTACATTTTTCTAGTTATCATTTGGTGATGTTATTAAATTCGTGGAATCGTAACGAATAGAAGAAAATTTGGCAGTTATAATATGCAGTGGTATAGGTGTACAAAGAGGTTCATGTTTATTTTTGATTGATAGTTCAAGAATACAGTTTGGTTACAATCAAAAATTTGCAATCGCTTTAGATGTTCACCGCCTTACGCGACCCCAAAACGCGTTCGTAAAGGACCGTTCACCGACGAGGAGTTGGCTCAAATGAGTGAAAGTGAGCAGATGAAAGCGGTTCGTTGGCATTTTCGAATTTTCAATTCCAAAAAAAAACTTAAAGATGGTGTTTTATTTATTTCTACATTATTTGATTGATTTTGAGCATTATTATGGGACGAAATTGGAAATTTCCATCGTTGAAAAGAAAAAATAATAATAGCAGATTTTTAGGCCTTGGAGTTGAGTATTAGGACGGCTGAATCAGGTGAAGTTGGTGTGATTGCGAAGGATTGCGAACAGGTATGGGACTTACTTGAGCATCACTGGATTTAAAAGCTCACTTTCTGTTGAATTATATTTGTGAATGCTTTTATTAGAATCTAGATATGGTTAGTTTGATGTAATTGTTGTAAGAGTAGTTTGAGGAAATTAGCTTCAATCTGAATGAACGTGCTGAGTTGATATGATATGATATGATAGGAGCGGATGAATGTATTTATCTATTTAAATAATGCAAGGTTAGTTGTGAATGCTTTAAGTGATTGCAAATTATGCAGTCGTCGTTTAGCACTTGGCAGATTTGATATCATTGGTACAGAAACGGGATTTCTTCGGTGGATTTTCGGCATGAATCTTGGTTAAGGTTGAGTTGGTTTTGAGGGAGGAAGAGTTGTTTCAAATCTTTTAGGAAGAGAAACTAGTGAATATGAAGATAGTTGAATAAAATGATTGATTGTTGAATGGTTGGTTGAGATTTTTGGCGAAAAAAAAACTCGTTTGAGAATTGCAGACTCTCACTGAGGCAGATGAAGCCGAATGGAGGTTAGCTACTGAGATGGCGGTGGCAGAAGATGAAAATATGAATAAAATTACCGAAGGTGTCGATATCGAGGAATCCGCTCGGCTAGCACAAGAGCCAGCAGCAACACCACAAGATGTGCCACTTAAAAACGACGCAATGAAAACGCCAAAATCTGATCATTTAGATACTTCAGCTCAATCAGCTGTCTTGGTTAGAATTCTTTAAATACATCTACTTGATTTCTTTTGATTTGCTAAATGGGAAGGAACATAAATTTTAATGTTTTGTTTTTTTATAACGCAACAAAAGTTTTACTTTGTCTTGAATGAATTGTTTTGATTGTTTTCGTTCAAGAGTGTTACTTATTTCTAACGTGTTTGTGCGTTCTACAGGTGTACGAGCACCGTGGTTTAAGATCAATAAAGAGCAAGGCAATCACGAATGCATGGCGAGCCAAAGCTTGTAAATTCTTACGAGTGAAAATGGCCGATGAGATTGTATATCCGTAGGTTTTTCTTACGATTTTTGTACCCACTAGTGTGATTTTGAAGTTTTTAAATGTTCTGCAGTATTCAGTGTGGTTGTTATGAAAAATCCGTTATCGATGCTATTTTTAACATTATTATCATTCGATAATATCTTCAGTATTGATCATCGACATTATTGTTCTTAGAGTTTTGCATTCGTAACGATTTCTATAAATTATTGTTATCGCCAGTTTGACTGTTGTTGTTGCAGTGCAGAGAGTGAAGAAGTTGAGATGAGTCTTCGTGATCGACCAGCTCGTTGTGGGACGGTTGCCGGCGACGGAAATTGTCTATTTCGAGCGTTAGCATTTGCGATCACCGGTGGATCTGACAGACAACATGCAGCGATACGACAATGTGTACGTTTTCAATTGACTCTTTCAGAAACACTTTAATTTGATTGTGTTCCAATTGAATACACCCTTTTCGGAAGTATTAATCGTGCATTTAATCTACCATTAGCGCAATCCTACTCGTTGATGAGCTTTCCTTATTTCTAGTTAATGAGTAAAATTTTCTTGTCTAGCTTTTCGTAAGAAATTAATGACCAACATTGTCACTAAATGAACTCGTAAGAGGTAATTCGTAGATGAGGAATTATTATAAACTGTACTCAGCGGTGCTCTCTGAGGAAAATTCGATTAGTTTCTGAGTTCAGCTTGAAACAACTATTGCCATTTTTTGTTCAGATAACATCATTCGAACTGGGAAATGAGGATCGTTTTCGGGTTCTTGTTGAAAAGGATGCGAAAACGTGGGAAGACCACGTTGATGCGCTGATTAGCGATGGCTCATGGGGTGGTTCCAGTGAACTGACGGCAATTGCAACAATGCTCCGAATTGAAGTATGGACATTTTTGGACGGGCGCTGGGTGTGTTATGCACCTCGTTTTCAGAAAGGTGCGGAGCGTGACGAAATTGTTGGTATGCGATTTTGTTGTAATGATAGTAATTTTTATGGGTGTTACTGTTCGTTTGATAGTGGTAACAAAATTTATTATTAGTGATATTGGTTTTTAGTGATAATGGCGGTGGTAGTAATATTAATGTTTGTTAAGTGAGCATTTTTTCGGTGAAACGTTGAAGTGTATTTTATGTGGGATGCGATTTATCAGTTCAATATATTATTTTAGTTATTATATTAGTTCATTATATATTAATTATTCATTGTATTAGGAAGGTGATTTATATTATATATTCATTATACTTTATGTTGTATTAGTTCAGTGCTTGATTGTATTGGAGTGATTGAGCACGTTTTGTTTTCAGATATCCCGATAAATGAGTATCAGCTTGGATCGAGACCAGCGATATACCTGCTGAACGAGCACTGTCATTACAGTCCAGTTATCGAACTCTCTGTGAGTCTATTCACTGTTTTAGTTTCACTCGTTTATTTATGTCAAAATGAATGTTATTAGTACTTCTATGGTTTGCTTTATTTATGCATGTGTACGATCAGTGCCTGGGTGAAATGTTGAATCGTTTCCTTTTGTTATTGCTTACAGTAGAATAAGATGTTAATATGGTGTGTATTATCATGACTTGTTGGAACGTTTTTGTGTTTGATAGTGTAGGATATGTTCAATATTTTGCAGAATAAACGTTTCCTTGCTGATCAAGCCCTTGAGAGGCGTCTGAAAATTAATGCAGATGTATGTTTTGGTCTTTTCTTGTTTTTTTTAATTTTTGTTCGTTTGTTAAATCATTTTGGACACATTCTTTGACGAGTATTGGTGTGTTGTTATTGTGGAACAGGAAACTTCATTGTGATGAATTGAGCGAATTTATTATTATTTTTGGAATTATTGAATTTCTGAATGTAATGGAACTTTCGATTACACATGTAAATTGTAGCACTGTTTCGAACTCATAGGTTGTTCTGAACTAATCAGCTTTTTTCATTCAGAGCGGTGAACTGAAACCATCATACCGACTGGTCTCGGTTGTAAGTCATTATGGTTCGTCAAGTTATTCCGGTAGGTTTTTTGTTTTTTCGATATCAGTCTTTGCAATTGTTTGGTTGTTATTGGCTGTAAGCTTTTGGGTTTGTCGATGAATATTTGAAAAAATTGAAACGAACGAATCGAGAGCAGTTTGAAGGTTTTCCAATGTGAATTTCTTGTAATTGTTTTGATAATAATGATGCTGATTGTAGTAATAATAATAATAATAATGATATTTTTAAAATGTCTGTTGTTTTAGGTCATTATGTATGTGATGTATGGAATCAGAAGCAATCCGAGTGGTTACATTGTGATGATAGTTCCGTATCGGAAATAAGTGAAAAGAATGTTCGCATTGGGCGAACCACTACTGGATATTTGTTCTTCTATATGGCCAGGTAGTTCTTATTGCTTTTTGTAGTATGTAAAACGATGTTGCAAAATTTTTTGAGCAAATTTTTGGAAGAGTAGAATGAAATTGAGATTGTTGAGTTTGAATTTATAGCAGTTTCCACATTCGTATTATATCGTGTCGTAAACAAGTGCGATTATGGGATGCTCTGAAGGGCATGCTTAAAAGCCCGTTCTGATTGTAGCGTTGAATGATTAGCATCTACACTAGATACTGTTTCGTCAGGCGTTTGCCGGATGAAGTTGTTCTCGTTTACAATAGTCGAATTTTGAAATGTTTCAGAGATGTACTCGATGAAGAGGCGGTCTGATACGGTACAAATTTATATTTTGATATCATAAAAGTGGTGCGATATATTTATAGCAAGGGAAAGAAGTATATTTCGAATTGCTCTTCGTTTGATTTTGATGGTGACTGTCGAGCAATTTCGGCTGGCACAATGAATTTTCGCGGAATTTGTTCATTTTATCGATTTGCGGTTGATTTTTGGTGAATTTCATTATTTCTGCATATTAATTAGAGAAGAAAATTTGAATTTATCCCTTTTACATTATTGTCATTTTGATTGTTGCATTCCCATGAAAATTTCATTCCATTTTTTGTATTCCATTTTTCATTTGCATTGTACCGTTCCGATTTTTATTAATTCAGTTTCACTTCTGAAATAT